GAAGATTTGGTCGTGGGGGAAGGCCCCAGGGTCCAGGACCCGTTTCCCTCAGGACCCGCTTCCCCCTATGCTTACTTAGCAGAGTCAAGACGCTGACATGAGGGCCACCTTGGGCTCTGGGGAGTGGCTCTGGTTTTCGGGCCGTTCCTTAGATCTGGGTCGGGAAGCCTCTCCTTGACGAGGATCGCCGTGGCGAGGAAGGCACCTTCTTATCTAGCTGCCTGCGACAAACTCCGCCACCGTGCCTGTGCAACAGCCCAGCAGGAAGGAGACTGATCGCAGGAAGACGCAATTCCGACGCCTGGTCTGAACTGGGAAGGACGTGACCTCGACCTCGTCTGTGTCCTCACGGCAAGGTCGACGAGAAGGACGGGGAGGAGGAGGAGGAGGAGGAGGAAGAAGAGGACGATGAGGAGAAGGACAATGCGAAAACGATGAGGCCCCTTGGTGGTCTCCCGGGTGCTTCCTGTGAGCCTCCTGTGAGCCTCTTGGGGGCCTCTTGGGGGCCTCTTGGGGGCTTCTCGGGGCCTTAGCTCGACTGGTGCTGTCGGAGGCCGTCCTGGGGGCCTGTCTGGACCGTCCTGGTGCTCTCCTGGAGCGCTTCAGGGCCGCATGGGGGGCCCACTTGGGGAGCCTCTGAGGCGATCATGGAGTCCTCTTGCGCCGATGCGGGGCCCTCGTGGGAGCCCCGCGGGCCGTCGCGGAACAACCTTCGAGGCCTCGCTGGCCGTCTTCGGGCGGTCCCAGACCTAGGCAGGCGAGGACTTCCAAATCCCTGCAACAGAAACGATGGACATCCACGACGTTTGCCTCCTCGGGCTCTCCTGGAGAGCCTCTCGAAGCACTCTTGGATGCCTCCTGGGGCCACTTGGGGCTTCCTGGGTCTTCTCTGGTGGCGCTTGGCCTGGCTGGCGTCGTCGGAGGCCGTCTTGAGGGCCTCTGTGGGCCGTCTTGGTGCACTCTTGGAGCGCTTCAGGGCCGCCTTGGGGCCCTCTTGGGAGCCTCTTGGGCGATCTTGGGGTCGTCTTGGGCCGATTTGGGGCCCTCTTAGGAGCCTCGCTGGCCGTCTTGGGCTATCTTGGAGGCATGTGGGGCCGTCTTGGGCGATCGGAGACCCAAACAGGCGAGAACCTAAGAATTCTGCGGAAACCCAATGGACATATATGGTTGTTGCCTCCTCGGGATCTCCTGGAGAGCTTCTTGAAGCCCTCTTGGGCCGTCTTGGGTTGTTTTGAGATCGTCTTCAGATTATCTTGAGCCGGCTTGGGCCATCTTGAGCCGTTTTGGTGTCGTCTTGGAAGCCGTCTCGGAGGCCATCTTGGCCGTCTGGAGGCCGAAAAGAGCGCCCGGGAGCGATTCCAGGGGGGGGCGGTCTACGCGTGCGCGGGCGAACCAAGGGGGGGTGAGTCGTCCAAGCAAACACGTTAGAACATTCCCAGAGGGACCACAGGAGCTTTTTAACACGCCCGCTCCGTGCAAGCAGGCGCGGTGGCGGACTTGGCGCTCCTTCTGGCAGCGCTTTGACTGCAGTTGGCCTTCGGGGGGCTCCCGCGTCGCCCAGGCCGGACGCAGCTCGGAACACCTGGTGCATCTGCATCCCGAGAGGCGTGCGCGGACCGATTTTGTGAGCTGCCGCTGTCTTGACTCGCCCTGCTAATTACGGCCCACGGTGCGTTCTGCGGCTCTGCACGGTCAGGCCGCCTCGTGAGGGCGAGCACATCGCTTTTCTCCAGGGGCGCCCCTGCGTGCTGGCCTCTCGGCCGGGGTCCTGGCCGACGCGTGGCCGTGGGCCACGCGCCGGGGGCCGAAACAAATCGGCCACCGAACCCGTCGTAGGGACCTTTTCGCAACGCGAAGATTTTAGGTTTTTTCCCTCCGTGCTCCCTCCTCCTTGCCTCTCTCCTCCGTCCCTCCTCCGATCGATTCTAGTCCGATCCGATTACAGTGCCGTTTCTGTTATACATGCTCCGCGTGCGGAACATGTATTAAAATGCAGGGATTTAGCACTAAGAGCAACGATGCGTTCATGCGTAAATTCATTCATGAATGTATTAAAAGTCCAATAGTTTAAAAATCCTATGTATTAAAGGATGCCCTGTACGACACAGTACCTGTGCGGCCAGATTCCATGCACATGCCAGCCTGGTCCGATCTCCCGACCCGGTGCTGATTCATCTTGGCTCCTGCCTCCTCCTCCTCCTCCCCCCCCACTTCATCCCCCTCGTCCTCCTCCCTCCTCCCTCCTCCTCCTCCTCCTCCTCCTCCTCCTCCTCCTCCTCCTCCTCCTCCTCCTCCTCCTCCTCCTCCTCCTCCTCCTCCTCCTCCTCCTCCTCCTCCTCCTCCTCCCCCGCCTCCCCCTCCTCCCCGCGCACTGCCCTCCCTACGGCAACCCGCCCTCCCGCCGCACCGAGCCCCTCCCGCCGACGCGGCCCGCGAGGCCGCCACCGAGCGCTGGGAGGCGCTCCGCGGCGCCCCGGCGGCCGCACTGGGCGCCCTGGAGGCGGGCCCCTCTTCGGGCAGCCCCCAGGGCATCGCCGGGCCCAGACCTCGGACAAATGTCGCCGCGCCGTGTGTTCCGACTCGGCCCGACGCGCGGCCTCACGTCCTCCTCCTCCTCCTCCTCCTCCTCCTCCTCCTCCTCCTCCTCCTCCTCCTCCTCCTCCTGCTTCTCTTCTCTTCCTCCTCCTCCTCCTCTCCTCCTCCTCCTCCTCCTCCTCCTCCTTCTCCTCCTTTTTCGTTTCCTCCTCCTCCTCCTACTCCTCCTCCTCCTCCTCCTGTTCCTTTTCATCCTCCTCCTCCTCCTCCTCCGCCTCCTCGTCCTCCTCCTCCGTCTTGGGGAGAGCGCCGCGGCCACGGGGCGCAGAGTTTGCAGTGGGCGTGCCGCGACGTCGGCTTCGTCGATTGGTGGCACGTTCGGAACCATCTGCGCGGCAACATGTGGGGCGTTGCACAAAGGGCCTCGTCTTCGAGGAACGAGGGGGCGCGCGTCTCTTCCGCAGCGGAATGGCGGCGGAAGCAAAACGAGAAACGAGGCCGCCTCCGCCGGCGGAAGCCGGCGGAAGCTCGGCGGAAGGCGGCGGAAGCACAAGATGCGCCCCCGAGAGATGGAAACGTTTTTTGGGATCCGGGGTATGATGGTAAACGTCTGATGGTTCGCGTCGCCGCCGACGGCGACGCGACGACGACCCTCGCCGCCGAGCCCCCACCTGGTCTGGAAGCTCGGCGGCGGGGGGGGGGGGCTTCCGCGCGCCTTCAGCCGACCCTTCGCGCCGATGCGGGGAGCACCGAAACCGCCCGCATGATGGTGCCAAATCCGGGCGTCGCTCCCAGGTCGTCTGGCCCTCGGGGGCCCGCTCGCGGGCCGGGCCCCCGAGGGCCATCGAGCACGGCTGCCCGCGCCGCGCGGGGCCACCCCGCGGGGGGAGAGGTCGGCAGCCCGGAGCCCGCGGATCGGACAAGGCACGTCGGAGGATGCCAATGGGGGGGATACAGCCGCGCGCAGAGGGGGGCGGGGGGGAGGGGGGGGGGCTCCTTAGAAGCACCCCTGCTTCTCAGAAGGCGCGGGCTTCATCTACAGGTGTGAGGCCGGCGCCTTCTAAGAAGCAGCCTCCTTCTAGGAAGCCTTCCCCTTCTGGGATACCACCTGCCCTCTGGGGAGCGGCGCGCGTATCTCAGGAGGGAAAGAAGCACACAGACACCATCAATTGTCGACTCCCAGGAAAACATGGGAACTGGCGGGGGGGGAAGACGAAAGCCAAGAAGGTATGGGGGAAGTTGGGGAATCCTGTAACTTGTGTCTATTTGTTTGTGTGTCCCTGGGCCCCTTCAGTACAAAACATTCACGCCTTCGCGGTCTCGGTACGAGGTACCGCGGACGCGGCATGCCCTCCGCCCACGAAGGGGGAGTCACCACCTAACCTTAAGCTGGGCTTGTCCCTCTACAGGAAGAATATTCAAAAATAGTGAAAACTAGTCTGGGGATTATGTTTAGGCTATTGAATGTGCGTGTGTGCGTTTTTCTGCGTATGGCTTAGCTATTTGTTCGCCCAAAAATCCGCCCGTAGGGGGCACGCCCGACTTAAACCTGTTCTCATGGAGATCGCGGGTCGAGGAGGACATCGAGGGATCGAGGAGCAAAGGGGTTCAAAATTCGGACGCCATTCCGCCGATCCCGTGAAGAAGAGGCGTGCGGCATCCGCCGGCGCACTCGCTGTGTGTCGCCGCGTCGTCCTCCTCTTCCTCCGTGTCTGGTGTGGGGCCTCTCGGGGCATCATGGAGGCCTGGGGGCGGCCTTTGGGACCTCCTTGTCCAGGCTCCTGGAGACTTCGTAAAGGTTGGGGGTTTGGCAGGTGCCTCTTGTTGGCATGTAGGGGGTCTTGGCGGCCATCTTGTGGGGAGAGTTCCCGGGCTCCGTGCGAGTTCCCCCTCTTGGTCCTCTCTTAGGCCCCGTTTTCATGGTGTGTTGTCCCTTCATGCCAGTTTCTCTGATATCTTATCTTGGCAGTGGTACCGTTGCCGTTGGTGATGTTGGGTGTTTTTCTTCAGAGTGTGACCCCATGGGTTCGTCACAAAGATTGACGGCGTGAATGCTGCTTCGGCGAAGTGTGCCCAGCTGTGGCTGCATGCTGGAAGCAGTGTTGGGTGACCACTGGGCAGACAGACGTGCTTATACAAACCACCGTGAGGTACAGCACATCAGAAGAAGTCGAGCCCGAGATTGCCGACTACTACCTCCACGATACCTTTTTAGTCGTATTGCATCCCCCCCTGTTACACACGCCGTGACGAAGGTGGCTTTGAGACAGGCTTCTCCGAGGAGCAGTTCGCACACCATCGAGCATTGAGATGATTATGCTGTGGCGAGGGGATTGGTAGCCCTGTGCCGATAGCGTTCGATTGGGCCAGGCATCGATGCCAAGGCCGTTCTCGCCTGGCGCCCCTCACTCTAGGCACGGATTTCTTGCCAGGGGAGAGAAGTATGTATACATACACGTTGTTGTGCTGTAGTTTGTGTATGGTGTCTTGCTCTTCTGATGGAGCACCGCTTGCCCGAGCCTTCCTCCTGCCTCCATCTTCCTGCCGCGTCCCTGCTCCCTCATCCCTCCTCCTTCCCTCCTCCCTCCTCCTTCCTCCATCCTCCATCATTCCTCCTCCCTCCTACCCTCTCCCTCTTCCCTCCTCTCTCCTCCTCCTCCTCCTCCTCCTCCTCCTCCTCCTCCTCCTCCTCCTCGTCCTCGTCCTCGTCCTCGCCCTCCTCCCCCACCTCCTCCACCTCTTTCTCTTCCTCTTCCTCTTCCTCTTCCTCTCCCTATTATTCTCCTCCTCCTCCTCCTCCTCCTCCTCCTCCTCCTCCTCTTCGCCCTCCTTCTCCTCCTCCCGCCTTCTCTGCCTCCTCTTCCTCCTCCTCCTCCTCCTCCTCCTCCTCCTCCTCCTTCTCCATCTCATCCCCCTCGCGGCCCCCTGGGGGCGGCTGCCAACTGCGCAAGTGTCGCCGCTCTCGTGGGCTCCTGGGAGGTCCAGTGGAGTGGGGCGGTCACGCAGACGCAAACCCACATTTGTTGTTGTACGAATGGCTGTCGCTTGTGGAAGATGAAATCGAGGGATCGAGGAGCGAGAGGATGTTGAAAGTTTTTTGGGCGCTGGAGAGCACTGTGCCCCCCTCGGGCAGCGCTAGGTCCAGATCTCCAACGATATGATTTGCTCGGTCTGGGGGCGTGTTGACGTGGTTCCTCGATTTCGGCCTCTGGAGCGCGTTTTCGGGTCATCGAAAATGTGTCCTGAACGCAAAACTACCCTTCGGGCACGCATCAAACATGCATGATCCAGGACTCAACCAAACAAAGCATCCAGAACTGCTACAACCAGCAAAATGCAGCGAGGGTCACGATCGCGGCGAACGTGACCTGGAGAACCACTTATCGATCCCCCCTGTGCTATCGTCAGCACCAGTTCCGGAGGGGGTCACCACCGAAAAATCTGACCTGCGAGATTTGATTCCGGAGAGGGGGGGGGGGAGCAGCGAATTCTCACGAGTCGCCCGGGGATCTCTCATACGTTCTTGCAGGACTCTTCAGGAATCCTGCAGGAATCATATTGAATTCCTTCAGAAACCTTCAGAAATGCTAAGGAATCTGGACGGGCCCGCAGGAAGCCTTCAGGAAATCTTGAGGAACTGTCGGGAATCTTCACGAAGCCTCCAGGAGTTGGCAGCAAACCTTGAGGAATTCTCAAGAGTCCTTCGGGAACACTGCATGACTCGTCAGAAACCTATAGGGAAATTGAAAAATCGTTCAGGATCCTAAGAAATCCGACGGATCTCTCAGGAACCCCATTATGCCGCAGGAGCCCTTCAGGAATCTTCAAGGACTGTTCACCATGTTGCGGGAATCCTAAGGGATCCTCCAGGAATCCTTCAGGGATCCGACCGTAAGCAACATACAAGAATAATTCTGTCTCGGGGGATCCGCGAATGTTCGAGAATCGTCTGGGACCTTTCAGAAACCATTGGAATTTTCACGAGTCCGTCCGGAATCCAGAAGGAATCTTCAGGAATATGGTGGGAACCGCCAGGAGTTCCCAGGAACCCTTCAAGGATCATTGTGCGTGCTTCATGGATCGCGAGGAGCCCGCAGCAGGAATCTGCAGGCGTCTCAGGGATCCTCACGAATCTTCCAGGGGTCGCCGGAAATCCTTCGATGAATCTTCGGAGCTCCATGAAGACCCCGCCAAGAGCCCACAGGAAGCGTTCAGGCGTCCTGCAGGAAAGGGTCTGTAGGACTCCGGCAGGAGTCCCGAGGAGCCCTTCCGGTAGGCCCCCATCAAGCATCTCCCCAGGGGCCCGCGGGACCCGCAGGACTCCTCCAAGAAGCTTCGGGAATCCACTCGACATCCGACAGGGGTCCCAAAGAATTCTTCAAGCACCCTCAGGAATCCTCAGAAGCCCATATGAGCCCGAAGAAGTATCTTCCAGGAACCCTTCAGGAACCCTGCAAAACAAATCTTCAGGGAAGACTTCGGGAGCCCGCGGAAGTCCGCAGGAATCCTCCCAGGATCACTTTTGGAATCCTCAGCGCAATGTGGCCGCGCAGGTCACGTCCCCTGCTCCTCCTCCTCCTCCTCCCCCTCCTCCTCCTCCTCCTCCTTCTCCTCCTCCTCCTCCTCCCTTCTCTTTTCCTCCGTGGACTAACTAGCGATGTGCCCCGTCGCTGGACCACCTAACTCCCCAGTGAAGTGTGGAGGGAGGAGGAGGACGAGGAGGATGAGGAGGGGGAGAGCGCTTTTGCACTGCGAGCGTGAGCGTATCGTTTTCAATATCACCTTTCAGCGCCTTGCCCGCTACTGGCAAGCAGGGGCGTCTTACATCCAAGCCCTGCCTTAGCACTGCATTCAAATCAACGCCCACTGAATCGAGAACACGATGGGTTGTTCCGTTTCGCATGCGGCCCCGAGAATATTTGGGGCATCTTGCGGGGTCTTCAACGATCTTGAAATCTGGGCGAG